TTATTTTTTGAAAGTTTTTTTTTCATAGTTAAAAAAAAGTAAAAAATGTATATTTATTTATTTGAGCTTTTCTAATATCTTTTAAAATAAAGGTTTGACTCTGATTTGGGTCCAAGTATTTGCTTACCAGTTCTGATTCCATGAAAAATTTTACACGATTTAAAGTTGTATGGTTTTATATTTTTAAAATTATAATAGCTAGTTAATCTATCGGTATCGGCATTGGTATCGGCCTTTTCCTATCCATTGGCATCGGTATCGGCATCGGCCAAAAATATGCAATCAGTACATCACTAATATATATATATATATATATATATATATATATATATATATATATATATATATATATATATATATATATATATATATATATATATATATATTAGGGCTGTTCATGTGAACACAGGAAAAAAAAATTTTTCTCGGATTTGAATGCATAGTTGTTTATTTTGTGCCATTTGACATAGTAATTGACTGTGTAAAAAATCTTTCCAATCAGATAATGTTTAGGGGGTGCTCAATGACCATAAAGTTTTACGAAAAACGTCAAAAACGTGGAAAAAGTTCCAAAGTTCCAAAAATCTCTAGAACCTGGTTAGTTAGATTTTTTCCACTGAAATATTGTCTGATTGCGTGCTATATAGATTAATTAAAGTGCAGCAGATTAACTGTCATCAAGGCACCAGACTAAAAAATGTCTGCTAGTGTTTAAAACAACTGTGTTTATATCATTTTGTTAAAATTTATATTCATAATTTCAATACTATTATTTAACTCAATTTAGAATTTGTTCAAACAGAATAAAAAGGTTTACAAGTATAAATATTATTTTTATTTAGAATTTCAGTTTGACAACAAATGTATTAATATTTTGATAGTACCTAACCTTAGTAACCTATTACAGAAAACTAGCATGGTAGTCTGGTAGTGTATTGTTTGTTATTAAGTGCAGATAATAATAATTTCTAATTTGAAAATATTTATTTAATTTCTTTAGTAATAATTATTATTATATATTGCTGCAGCTGCATAAACCAACAACTGAATGATAAGTTTGTATAATATGGTATTGAGTTTTGATTTTCTCATAATTTTTCAGTTATCATTGAAATGGCAGCATCATCTCGTGTTGCTATCTCTACACGACTTCAAACCGAAATCTTTTTAATTGGACAACCAGAGCCAAATCTTCCAGATAAAGTTCTTCCCTTAACATCTGATGTTTTAAAAACATTTTTTTATCATCTTAATTCAACCAAAAAGTCAGTGCCTGAAAGTCTTAAAACAACTGTTGATGAACTGATTATTATTTGGAATAAAGCCCGTATTCCGACAGCATTTCATCCGAATGTAGTCTTAAAGTTGAAAACTTTAGTCCAGGAATTTAAATTAATAAAAAAAAAAAATCCAGATTGTCAGATTCTCAGAAATCAAGAGAGAAATCATTTACAGACACCATTGGCCTACTTTTTGACATTGCCCACAAGGATGCTGAAACCATGATTAGAATTGAAGAAGATAAAGAATTTTTATTGGATCAGAGATGTCAGAGAAAAATGGTGATGTTTGGAGAGGACAAAGAACTTTCAAAATTAGAAGCAAGAAATGAAGCAAGGAAACAAGCAGAAAGAGAACGAAAGCCAAAAGAAGAGCAAAGACAATCTGGTGCGAGTGCAATAGTTCCTGTTATTGAACCTTTACATGACAAAAGTTATAGTGATGACAACGATAACGATGCTGTTGATAATGACAAAATGGTTGATAGAGATTTTGAGATAGAAATCCCTGTTTAAAACGACAATGTATCTTCGATACAATTCTTGACTCGCCTGATGTTTCATCAACATTAGGCAGAATTAATCTATCTGACACAAAATTTACTATACTAGCAGCAGCAATTGCAAGGGCTGGTGGACAGAACCTCGATGATGGATCATTGTCACGTTCTACAGTCCGTAGAAAACGAACCTATCATCGATCAAACATTGAAGCCACTGTTCGAACTGAATTCTGCGATTTGGACAAACCACCATTAATCGTCCACTGGGATGGCAAACTGATGATAGATCGTACAAATTCTGCAGACCCTAAAGCAAATGTTGACCGGCTATCTGTAGGTGTGACAGGTCACAATGTTGACAAAATACTTGGAATAGCAAAACTATCAGCTGGAACTGGAGAAGCCCAAGCAAAAGCAGTTATTCATCTGCTTAATTTCTGGGACATAATTGGTGATGTTATTGGAATGAGTTTTGATACTACAGCCTCTAACACTGGCTCCGAAAATGGTGCATGTGTAGTTCTAGAGAAACATATAGGTAGAAATTTGTTATATTTTGCTTGCAGACACCATGTTCATGAGATCATAGTAGCAGGAGTGTTTGGATCACTATTTGGACCATCATCTGGTCCCAACATACCTCTTTTCCAGAGATTTCAGCAATATTGGCCCAAAGTTAATCAAGGAAATTTTAAACCTCTGGATGACATTCGAATGAAAATACCCCTGGTGCAAGAACTACAAAATGAAGTGATGGCATTCCTCAAAGAAAACCTGCATGTTAAAATGCCAAGGGATGACTACAAAGAAATCATGGATCTCTGTCTGTTAATACTTGGAAAACTGCCTGATCAAGAAGAGAAAAATTATCATTTCAAGATCCCTGGTGCTTATCACATGGCTCGCTGGATGGCCAAGGTTATTTATTGTTTTAAGATTTATTTATTTCGTGAAGAGTTCAAGTTGACCACAAAAGAGGAAAAAAATCTCTGTGAATTTTGCTTATTTGCTAGTCTGGTTTATGTAAAATCTTGGATATCATGCCCAAATGCCAGCGATGCTCCAGTTAATGACTTGTTTCTGTTTCAGCAACTTAAGCAGTTTGCAGTTGTGAATAAAACGATTTCCGAAGCAGCAGTCAAGAAATTTCAAAACCATTTGTGGTACCTTTCACCAGAATTGGTCCCACTAGCTTTGTTTTCAAACAAACTTAAAACGGAAGAGAAGCAAAAAATGATTTCCAACATGAAATTTCATGGTGAGAACTGGTCTGAAAGGTTGATCAAATTAAAGAATATTGAAAGTCTAGAGAAGAAATCTCTGGACATGCTGGTGACATCAGTTTCAGCAAGTGTGTTGCGGTCAATGAGGGTTGATATTGATTTTCTGTTCAACAACGATCCAGCTACCTGGAATGATTCCCCAGAATACCAAGAAGGAAAAAATTTAGTATATTCATTGAAAGTAGTAAATGATGCTGCCGAACGATCTGTGGCTTTAATGTCGATGTTTAATGAATCGATTACAAGGAATGAATCTGAAATGCAGAGGTTAATTCAGGTGGTTGAGGATCACAGAAAGCGAGTGCCAGATGCCAGAAAGTGTACTCTGAAGAGTTATAGTCCTCGCTAGCATTAACATTGCACGAACTATAACATTACGATAATTAAATGTTAATTGCTCATATGTTTTTGAGTTGACCTACTTAGTAGTTGATAACGGTTTGAGAAACTGTTACTCCTTTACAATAATTTTTTTTGTTTATAATTCGTATTTTAATCAATGACAAAGAGTCAAAAATCTTAGTGTTTTATTTTGGAAAAATTCTGATATAACAAAAACCGCAGAACTTTAGTCGTATTGCAGTATTTTATTTCATTAATTTCTCTGCTAATAAACCAGTATAACGTGGATGTGGATTGTAATTTGTATTCAGAATTTAATATTTAGAGATAATTAAAACTGATCAAATCTGAAAAATCTAATTAACCGGGTTTTAGAAATTTGTGGAACTTTGTTACTTTTTCCATGTTTTTCACATTTTTCGTAAAACTTTATGGTCATTGAGCACCCCCTAAACATTATCTGATCGGAAAGATTTTTTGCACAGTTAATTAATATGTCAAATGGCACAAAATAAACAACTATGCAATCAAATCTGAAAAAAAAATTTTTTTTGGACAGCCCTAATATATATATATATATATATATATATATATATATATATATATATATATATATATATATATATATATATATATATATATATATATATATATATATATATGTATATATATATATATATATATGTGTGTGTATATATATATATATATATATATATATATATATATATATATATATATATATATATATATATATATATATATATATATATATATATATATATATATATATATATATATACACATATATACAGGGCTCGAAATAACAAACTTTTTTATTTCGGACATTTTGTAAAATAAAAACTTAGGTTTGTCGAATATGCCTGATAAAACCAAGAAAAATATTCACTTTTAGAAAAAAGAAAAATGTGATTGCATGTCATTTCTTATCACACAAAATATATCTTGTTTTTATATATTATGTTTAATTATAATTCACAATAAAATATAATTAGCATAAAAATTAATTATAAAAAGCAGCTGTAAAAACAAAGAACTATTGAATAAGTGCTTTCAGTTCATATTGAGTTCTATAATACCAACTGAGTTCAATTTTGGCCAGTATCTATGTATGATAAACATTTATTTAGATAAAAAAAAATTTTCTTTGTTAAAAAAAGTGTCGGGATTTCTACTGAAGATCAAGGTCAATGCAGTGATAATAATCTGCTCACTTTTATTATTGAAATGCTTACTAAAATAAAAATTAATTGTTTTTTTGTTATTTTCCTTTTTGTTCTTCTTTGACTAAAAATTTGTAATGATTAAAATTGACTTTTTAAAAATTAAAGCAAAAATTATTAGTTGTTCATTTTATCATAGTAATATCTTTCTTAGTTGCTTAATTTAATTGTATATGAAAATGTAAAAAAGCACTTTAAATTGTTTTTGAAATTTTCCTTATCTAAATATATCTTCTCAGTAGGCCATTCATATACTATACATAAATTAAATTGCAAAATTTATATTTAAACAGTTAAACCATGTTTAAACTAAATTTAAAATAACTTTAAAACACACAAAAATAAAAATACCTTTTTTGTAATTGCATTCATATCCTTTAAAATGGCTATATATTTTTTTCTAAAATAGTTCTAAACACTTTAGTATTAGAATAAACTATTTGACAACTTACAACAACTCAATTTTTTTTTTAAATATTACATTAAAAATAATCTCAAAAACATGTGCTAATATATTAAAAAGTATTTTATATTTTATAGTTATAACTTGACTTATAATATATATTTCTCTTCCATCTTATAAGTTGAACATTGTATAATAAAAAAAACTAACTAGTATTACTACTTTACTATTTTATATGATATTATTATTCAAAGTAACTTTGATACTAACTTTGAAAGTTAGTATCAATCACATATTTTGCATGCCAACTTTGCAGACTGTTGGCGTGCAAAATATGTGATAATATCTATTACTTTCTCTCATGTAAAAGTGAAAGAATCATTAAATCTGACACTTTGGCAAGACTGTGGTATCAATGGTTTTTGGTTAACATGCTGTAGAAAAAGCTCTGAATAACATGCTGTAGAGTAACTTTATTTGTCAAGAGCTAGAGGAAAAGTTTATTTATTAGGAACTTAGAATTATGATGGGAAAAAGTGGAACAGTTTTGGCTGTAAACACAAAGTATCTTTTTTTTTTTTTTTATTATTATTTTTTATAAAACAAAGTATTTACTGTAAACGCAGTTTTTAAAATCGATGTCTGTCTGCAACGACACTTAATAAAATCTAAATGGTATGGCTTTCAACTTAAATAAGACATGATAGATACTATTACAACCGTACAAATAAGTTAGTTGCATTAATAAGAAACGATTTTAAATGAGTACAAAAAAAATATTGAAACATGTGCAAAAAAGTTAACGTTTTGATTGATTTTACTTTTGCATTTTTTTATGATAAAAGCACATGGATTATTTAAAATGTTTACTTTGTCGCACATACTTCAATTTTTTTTTTTTTTTTTGCAATTCTTTGTTACTTTTATTATGACGATGTTTAAAAACATTTTAAAATATAAATGTTTAAGTATGAGTTTGATGTAAGTTTTAGAGATATCTAAAAGCAATTAATCTAGAAAATAATAAAACATTAAGGCAAATATCTCGTTCTGTCTTTGTTCATATTTCATATCAACAGTTTTTGTTTATTTATATTTTATATTAGCGGTACTGATTGAACCTGAAACACAATTTTTTTTGCGCCCCCCCCCCTCCTCATTTTGCCATATTTTTTTTAAGTACCCTTTACCTCTCTAAAAGTACCAACGCTTTTAGTTTATTTATTGTCTCCGTACTTTTATAATTGACCTATTGCCTCTCATCCTATATATGGCATTTGCAGACCTCTCTTCCTCTCCGAGCGTACGTACTTTATGGACGATCCTAACTTGTACACAATTTTTATTTGTTACGTCATCAATTTATTTGCGTTGTAGTGCAGGTTAAAAAACTCTTCGAGTGCACATACGTGTTACAAGCAAACTTTTTGTTGTATGAGATCCTTGTATGAAAAGGATTTGAAAAGTGACAGGTGTCACTTAATATTTATGGTTTGTGTCACGTGGTATGACGCATAGGCTCCCTTAGCAAAAAAAAATTTTAATCATTATTTTAAAAATATTTTATACCATTAGAAAAAGCATTAAATAAGCTTTCAAATTCATATAAAAAACATGTTGAAAATTTTTATTTCATAAGATATAGGACGTTATGCAAGTTACCAAACCGGGGGCATTTACAAAAATTACCACTAAATAAAAGATTACTACCACTAAAGAAAAAATTAAGTAGAATTGAAATAATTAAGCTAGTATATATATTAGTATTAATATTGTATAAACATATAAATAACATCATATGTAAATCAAAGAAGTATTTATAATCATAATATTTAATGAAAAGAAAAAAGGACCCCTGAAAATATTTAATTAACAGTATAAAGTCAATTAACCTTTTAATATAAATGGAATTAAAGACATTTATTGAATGAAAAGCTTCAAATATTCTAAGCATTCATTCTTAAACTCAAAAACCTTCTTAAACTCAAAAACTCAAAATTTTCAGAAAATATATGTTAAAATTAACGTGCTTACAAGCTGGTATTTAATAATACGAATAAATTAATTTGCGTCTTATAAAACTCTATATTCATAGTCATAGTTTCCCTTTTGCTCGTCTACATTTTTTGGTATAATATAAAATGATCTAAACGCATTTCTAGGTTAAACACGGACAAAACCGTGTAGCCAGTCACACGTTGCAAGTTAAGATATAAGAACCCGATGCTTATCATCGTACAAGATTTGTGCACAATGAGCTGTAAATCTTCAAGTAGTTTGTTGTACCAAAAAATTAATTGGCTCGACCAGGACTAACGTCATAAGCTAAGAGAATGGCGGAATTCATTGCAGTGTTCCAAATAAAAGTATTTTGCATAGTCGAGTTTCCATCATTTTACCAAATGTAGATCGCCAGTGCATCACTGACATGCAGTGGAATTGTGAGTTTGACCGTACAGCAGCGGATGCCCCCTATCAGTTGTTACAGGCATCTTTGATATTTAACTCAACAGTTAGTTTTCTTCAACTTGTTTGATGAATCTATTCCCGCAATCAAACGATCTGCCGCAGCTTTGAAATTGTTTAACATCAAAAGAACAGACAAATCAAGCTTGGAAAACCAACATTTTCACAAATTGAACAAAATAAAATTCCAGATTTTGTGTCCCTAGTTGTGCCAGATTCCTGGCTACTGTTTGGTTCACTCAAAACGAAACCTAACCGAGTAAATTGGTTGCAACTATCTGCTAAAAAAGTAGTCGAGTTTTTAGAATTGTTTAATGACTGCGCTAAACAAAGAACCTAGTTGATTCAGCTCTTCAAAAATAATGTCTAAGATCCAAAGCATACTTCATATTGTTGAGAACCATCGCAAACGGGTTTCTCATCGGAAAAAGTGAAAACCTAAATAACATATAATTTTCTTTTTGCCATTGTTTTAGGCAATTTTGTACATTAGCAACATTATTTAAGTTCTGTGCACCCGCTAAATATTCTTCTTTCAGTCCATTGTTTTTTTTTACCTGTAAATTACAAATAACATACTACAAGTTCTTAGATGAATTTTGAAAAACTGACAGTGAAATCTTGAAAAATATTGATAAAAATGTGCGAAAACTACAATTTTTTATAATGAAGTAACTGTGCTACCCTTAAATAATGTTTCATTGGTACTATAAAGCGGAAAATAAACTTTTTAATTTAAATTTAATAGTTCAGTAAACTAATGAAGTAAAAGTCTCTATCAAAATAAACCTTGTGCAGAAAATACGGTATTTTACATTTTAATTGTACGGTTTTTTTTTATTTTAGGTGATATGGTATTTTACATTTTAAGCATATGCATTAATTTTAAATTCTAATCAAATTTTAGTTTAAATGCAAATTAAAAGACGTCATTAACCCTTTAGTGCACTTTGGCTATTCCGTTTCACCTATTTGCCTATTTGTCTGAATCAGTTAAGACGAGGATATATGAAAAAAAGAAACCAAAAATTTAAGACCGATTGATTCAATTTTATTCTACAAGCCTCCTCATTCATTTTTTTAACTTAACTCATCTTGTTAATATTTCATTATATTATTGAATTTATTATTATTGTAAAACGGTAATATTGTAAAATATGTAACAGAAGAACAAAGAACCTCAAAAAGAAAAAAAAAGAAAGATTTGTTTCACTATTAATAAAATTTTGTTCATTTTAGGGTAAACCGAAGCTAGTTGTCTCTGTTTTTACTTGGTTGTCTTGAAGAATATGAATTTAGTTAACATTTTCATCTTGCATTCAATTTTTGAAAACAACTTTAGGGGCTTTCTGGGTTCTTAAAAAAATTAAAATATTTACTTTAAAAATAACAAATAATTTATTAATTGATTAAATTTTTTTTTTTTTTGTAAAAACTAAATTTTCTCAACATTGTTAAGCAACAAATTTAAAATAAAAGGTTATAAAAGAATATTTTTTTTTATCCATATTAAATAATATAACTGAACTGGTCTTGTAAAAATTTTACCAACTTGCTCTAAAAAGCTTTTTTTTTCTTCAATAAACCAGCTTAAAAAATTTAGTAATTCATTCTTGGTTTTTCATGCTCTTTACTAAATACTATTTCTTCTGTCTTTCCTTATTTAAGAATCATTTTTTTCAATCTGGTAAGAAACTTGGTACCTAATTTCCAATAAATTTACCATCTGAATCGGTCTTTCAGTATTTGATTATTACCCGTCTTAAAATTAGCACTAGGTATCTAGCCAACCATATATCTCCATAACTGGATGTCGTTCGAATGCTAATTTAACATTTGTAAGAGCATTAGCTACCGTGTGTCGTGCAATCAATTCAAGCCGGGGAATAGACAACCCTCATTTAGAAATGCCATTAGTAGTCCTTGAGTGAATTTGTACTACTACATATACTGCACTGCAACAGCCATCTTTGGTTGAATCACCAAACCCATGGATTTAAACCTTTTTTATTAGCTGATTCAAAACAGTTATATTTCATAGTATTGATTAAATTTCCATTATTTTTCCAAAGCACCCAGCTCTCTGCCAACTTAGGTGCAGTTTGTTTGTCCCATGAATATTGTAGATCACAGATTTGTCAATAAATTAGTCTTGCTGTTAGTGTTATTGGAGAAATTATACCGAGTGGATCAAAAACTGTTTGGTAAGTTGGCCGACAATTCACCAGTAAAATGTCATTGTCTTTGTCCCATAACAAACCAAAAATTTTTGCGTAACGATGATTATTTTCACTGATGGTAACTTCATGGCAATTATCTTCTGAATCATTGGTTTCTAAGATAGTGAGGTTTGAATGTCATTTATGAAGCTGAAATCCTCCCCTTTTCAACAAATTATTTGCTATGTGTTTCAATTGACAGATTCAAGATTGTTTTTTCCAGTAATCATATCATTAACATATCGCGACGTTAGAATTATCTTTTTCTATTAACCATCCTGTTCTCCACTAAATGATTCATTGTCTTATTTTCCTCAAAAAAATGTTTTTCTACTATACGGGAAAAAT